TGGAACTACTTCCTATCAATTACTTTGTTGGAATAGTATTGAATAGTTGTAAGTTAAAATTGGTCAATGAAAAAAATCTTTCCATCAGTTTTCGAGGCCTTCCCAATATTAAAAGATGGAAATTTAGTTTAAGTTTATATGTTTTGTGTGTTAAAATTGGTCGATGAAGAAATTACCGTCGATTTCTAAGGCCTCCCATGTTAATAAAACAAACATTTATTTTTAAGTTATTATTTGATTTATTTATTTTTACTCGTACTTATTTATTATTAACACTTTTAATAAGTGTCTCTACAGGTACACAAAGTTGCCTCCTATTGAAGCTATTCAGATGGAGTCTGAAATATAATTTTTTATTCATTATTGTGTATATTATTGACGTTAGACAAATCTTAGGTCGTTTCATATATTATTGTTTTGTTTTATTACTTATGTATATCCCATGATTGTTTTACTTGTATATCGTTTTATCTCCTCCAATTTGAAAAAAAATGAATTCACTCGGAACCCACAGTTGTGGGTTTCAAAGGATGTGTAACACCTTTCCTTCGGAATAACTTGAACCCTTACCTAGAATCTATTGGTTTCGTAGATATTTGTATTAATTGATTTCCTAGTTTTTCCTAAAATTAGGTGGCGACTCCCTTAAAATTGTTTTTTTTTTAAAATTCTTTTAAAATTGATTTAATTGATTATTTTCGAGTCACTATGACGTTTTGTCCTATTTGAATAAAGTAGGAATATAAACACTTTCGTCTATGCTCTCTTTGGAACAATATATTGTTCATCTTTGCCCCTAGCTAAATGTAGATCAATTGATGAAATCACGTTAAATTTTTGTCTAAATTAATGCAAATCTAAGCAAGAAAGCCCCATTACTTACTTTCTTTTGCAAGACTTACTAAACACAAATTGTTTCTATGTATCATTCTACGTTTCTTTCATACCAAGTTTTATGTATCAACATTTGAAACTGACAACTGGCCTTTGATTCTCTTTTTTGGCATTTTGTCCTAAAATAATCCTAAGCTCCAATGACTCCAACTCCAAAATACCTGTTTCTGAGGATCGAAATAACCATATGTCATCTAGAAGCTAGTAACCATGACAATAAGTTACTTATCTTCATTCATAGAATTTGCCTTTCATTAGGTAAGTTACCTTGAAAAACTCTTCCTAAATATTGACCTACCTAATATCTTTCCTACAAATACAAAAGAATATAGTATTAAAAAAATAGTTAAATAAAATAAATAAGTTGATAACTAGCATTAACAAAATTTAAAATATATATGATTTAGTTATACACATCTCTGACGAAAGATTATACAATGTAATAAACAAAGGCCAACATGAATATGGTGCAGTTGAAATAGAAAGTGGGGTGAAATTCATCTGCACATAAGCCTAACCTAATGTTCCTTGGTTCAACTATAAAATTTGAATAATTTTTATCAAAATGCTTTCAAGACTCTCCATTTGATGGATGACACAAAACACTAGGTGGTGTTTTTTTGTTTCATAGTGTCATCTCATATGTAGAGAAGAGCTATTTGATGCATACAACCTCTTCAACCTTGATATAAGAGCTAAATAATGCACTGTCCTAATAGAAACTTTAGTTTATTTCTATGAAATCATGCTTTTAGAGAGCTTGTTTACAAAACTTACAAAATTCTAGATCAACATCATTCTTATAGGATAACATGCAACCATATTTACAATAATCAATTCTGATTGACGAGAGTCCTAACTTAGACATCAATTTCTTTATCTTATAGAAAGAATCAGGAACCTCTAGAATCAAGTCAACTAACTCTTTAATATGGTCTATCACAGAGTCCATTGCTCCTTGAGCAATATTCCAATCTTATTTGATAATTTATAATCTAATTGTAACAGACAATTAAGAGTGTGGACTCCCATCACACAAAAAATGACTATCAACATATAATTGTTCACAAAAATGAAGTGCTTCTTCAACATTTTTCTTGAATTCAAAATTGAAAAGCACCCCAAAAACATTATGAATCATATTATGCGTTCCAAAACCTTGGACAAAATTATGTTCCACAAACCTATTATTTAATTGACCAAAAATATATTAAATCTATCATTACTCTCTTTCACCATGAACTACATCAGAATAATTACATGTGATGTAAGTTTGACTTTTTGAATTTAACTGTTGGTATCAAAGACAACCAAACTATATAAAATATATAATGAAATATAATTGAGTTCTTTATTAATTAGGTATCTTTTTAGTTTATGTTTGGATGTTGGAGCGTTATGTTGCTACCACTTTGGCCGGCGTTTTAATTGTATGTTGGATGAGTTAGTTTTATTGCACTTTCATAAATTGTAATTTTATTTATTGATTGGGGAGACAAAATTTAAAATAAAGAAATTCAAAAAAAAAAATTATATCAAGAAGATTCATTAACTTACATAAAAGCGCAAAAAATAATTTTATTCTATTCACATGGTATATCTTTTAATGAAGATGTTAGCACTCCTCTGCTTACATTTCTCTACCTGCTATTTTTCACTAGCACGGATATTAATTAAGTAGGTGCTCGTGTTGAATCTTGGAGTCAAAATTAGAGGAAGAAATTAAGAGGCAGCACAATTTGGTTTGGGAATGTAATTGTGGACATAGTGGCGAAGTCAGAAATGGTATGAAGGGTGTTAAAGATTTAATATATATATAAATATATATAATTTGTGATCTATATACTTCGCATAATTTTTATTTTCTATATATATATATTATATAATTTTTTGACGACAAATGCCCGACTGGCAACCCTGAGCTATATATATGACTACGCTACTGCATGGACGATCATTACATTGTATTTGGCACAAGATCCAAATAATTAATGTTATTAGTAAATAATTATAATTGAAAGAACATAGGACCAATGTTTTTAAATGATTAATACATATTATCATAGAGTTACTTGTATTTTGAGATCATATTGACGAGATATCATTGAAACATTTTGAAATACATTCAGAATTTAAATATTGTGAGAAAGTGACATTTCTTTAGTAGTATTATTTTTACTTCACTCAATTTTGTAAACAAATCTAACCAACAATTTTTTTAAAAAAAAATATCAATAGCCTTTCTTCTTGAGGTTATGAACATAAATGATGGACACCATTTAAATATAATTATTCTCTTAAAAATTCATACTTGAAATTTAGTATGTGCATTACACTAATAAGAATTACCATAAATATTTCAATATTTTATCTTTGTACGTAATCTATTTTATACAAACTATTATTACTCAATTAATATTTGAGTAAGACTATCATAGATAGGTAATTTTACAAAAAAAGGGTACTTTGTTGTTATAACGAATGATGGTTAAATAGAGGCTTGAGTGTATGTCAAATATTTAGCTTGACCAACAGTATGTTATATATATATATATTAGTAGCATAATTTAATTTTAATAGATGAACATCACCTTTGGTGAAAAATATTTTATTTCATTAAGTTTCTACCTTATCTTTGTAGAATTGTAGTCTTTTCATTTTTTCTTTCGCATACATATTATATAGTTGTTGTCTAATGAAAGTATCTAGTATCTTATAGAAATTATATCGTGATATAAAATATTTACCTTTTTCAATAATAAAAATTAATTGAAGAATAAAATTCGAAGTGTTATTTATAGAATCCTTAATTTGATTTAAGAATATTTTATGACCAATCACTATTTTCTTATCTATTTTTATATAGATATCAAGGAGTATATCTTGTGACATAACATTTTCTAAAATTAAAATGAGCACAAAATAACAAGAAATTCATACTTAAAAAATTGCATACTCAATAAAAATTAAAGAAAGAAAAAACATATGGAACAATACATAGCCAATGAAGAAGGAAGATGAAAATTTATGTTCATGCTACATTCACTATAGTGTTCCATTTGATTGAAATATCTTCCCACCAATACGTTACTTATCCATTCATTTTTACTTCCATATGTATTAAAAAATAATTTAATTATCATCATGATTATATTATCATATTATAAGTAAAATTGAAAATTTATTTTTGGAATAGTGGATATAACATCAAAATTGTTACAAATCCATTTAATGGTGGATGTTTCCCTTGATCTATTCCTAATGTAATGTATCTAGTTATTATATTAATTATCATTCTAACGTATTTGTCAAATGCTCTAAAAGGATGGTTTGAATATCCTATAAAAGGGTAGTCTTTCACCTTTATGAAATACACTTGAAGAGTTTAAATAATATTCTCCACTCTATACTTTCCATCACCATTTGTCTCCCTTTATTGTTTGTGTATTCTTACATATTCCTGTTGTTTTACAACACGTTATCAACACGAGTCTCTAACCAATTGAGACCTACTTAATTCGGGATTATCTTTTTTTCCTAAAAGTTAATCAATTTTCATTTACAGTCAGGTATACATTTATATGTTTATAACATCTCTAATAGGACTTGCATAAATCTTTGATCTATAATTTAATTACTGCATATATAACTTGATTTAGATATTATTATGATACTTTACTAGGCATAACAATCAATACGTTTAAGGTTTATATTGTTATGATATTTATACTACAAACTTACAACTCTAAATTTAATACTAGCAATATGATAGCATGATAGTTAGAATACTCATAAGTATTTTCTTTTCATATATTTTGTGTGTCATAAAGAATATAGTATTGTATTAAATACAACTTGAAATTATTACTAAACTTTGCGTTAATTGAAACTAGTAATAAATACTTAAAACAAGTAGAAAGTATATTTAACTTTTACCGTTTCAATTCTTCATGAGTTAACATTTTTTTTGTCTAACATTAATGTTCATGCATATAATATAATTTATACTCATCCTATACTTTATTATTTAAAGTATTAATTTGTCATTTATAATAAACAACCCAACATCATAATATTAACTCCATTATTTTATGATAGTTTTCATCATGTCGAATTTGTCAAAGCTTGAATTTATGGCACTTGACATTTCTGGAAAGAACTATTTTTCATGGGTACTTGATGCTGAAATTCACCTTACCGCTAAGGGTCTTGGTGATTGTATAATCGAAGAAAATAAGGCATCAAGATAGGATAAAGGGAAAGCTATGATTTTCCTTCGTCATCATCTTGATGAAAGTCTGAAGGTTGAATACTTAACAGTGAAAGATCCACTTGATTTGTGGATAGGTTTGAAAGGGAGGTATGACCACTTCAAGGCAACGGTATTGCCAAGGTCTCGTTATGAGTGGATGCACTTACAGTTTCAAGATTATAAAACTGTAATTGAGCAACATAATGACCTTTTAATGAAAAATCATGAAGCTCGTCCCGCTGGAAGTGCTCCATTACCGGAGGCACACACGGTAGAAGCACACAGCCAGACTGAAATAAGACAAAATAATCAGGGCCATGATAATGTACGTAGGCGTGGAAAAGGAAAATAAGATATAATAATCGTTGAGGTGGTGGTCATTAAAAAGGGAGAACAATATGGGTTCTCAAAATAATCCTTCAAAAGGAAAGGGCGATCACTGTCATCGTTGTGGCCTTAAAGGTCACTGGAAAAATGAATGTCGGACACCTGAGCATTTTGTCTGTATCAAAATTCCTTTAAAAGGAAAAGAAATAAAGGTGGTGCCTCCTCTTCTAGTGCCCAAGTAGAGTCACATTTGACTCTCAAAGATGATGCTCAGGCAGGGTCTTCTCAAAAAAATGATGAGAATGTTGAGGCAAATTTAGCATTGAAAGATGATGCTTTTGATGGGCTCGATGATATTACTCATCTAGAAGCTGAGGACTTTTTTGGGGATCGCACTTGAAGATTGACAATTGAACTGGGAAATGAATAATGTTGTTATTGTTTTTAATGTATTACTTAAAGTTCATTACTTAAATTTTATTTTGATAAGTTTCGTACTTCTTATTATGTATTTTTATTTTTATGAAGATAAATAAAATTTCTCAGTCTTCAGTTGGATCCAAGATGAATAATGGAGATATGTGCCTTCTAGATAGTGCCACAACTCATACAATACTAAGATAAAAGAAATATTTCTCTCATTTGATTATAAAAAAGACGTATGTTAATACAATATCCGGTAGTACAAAATTGATTGAGGGCTCTAGAAGAGCGGCCTTATTACTACCTATAGGAACACTATTGATAATTAATAATGCTTGTATTGTAGTAAGTCTCAAAGAAACTTATTAAGTTTCAAGGTTATTCGCCAAAATGGCTATCATGTTGAGACTGCAAATGAAGGAAATGTGGAATACCTTTATATTAATATAATAAATGCGGAGAAGAAAACTGTGCATGTAAAATTGCCTGCACTTTCTTCTGGTTGTACCATACAAATATTGGTACGGTTGAATCACATGTCGTGGTAAACAAAAGGTTTACTGATTCTAATGATTTTGTCATTCGGCATAACCGGTTGGGCCATCCCAGTTATAATATTGTCACACCCCAAACTCAAGGGGAGCGATTTGCTCCTAATGCCAAAACTCAGACCCAAGCCGACCATGTTGAACCATTTGGTACTAGCGCATGACAGACACACGCAATCAAGAAAACAAACTAGTATATCCCGGCTTAAAACTAAGACCTTGCCGGTAAGGCCCCTCTCAACATATATATAAAAGAAACAGCTACTCTCAAGAGTTCATATAAATAAATAGCCAACTAGCACATAAGTCTTGACTGGGCCGTCGAGGCCACCATGATATCTATACAAAAACTGGAATCAGGTATATATCAAGACAATACATCAAACAACTCACAAGCTTCAGCAAACCAACAAAAGTAGGCCAGCATGGCCATAACCTAGCTCTACACCCTACACACTAATTTGCAAGCCTCAAAGAGCAGTAAAGATTGGCTTGACAGGGCCCCAACCTACCCATAAAAATATACACAATAAAAGGTAACAAACCTCCAAACTCTAGCAGCTTCGGACGAAAAGGGCTAGCCAACCGGATAGAAGTCAATCGTGCTATAGAGGAGGTCTACTCGGTCGTCTGTCAGGACCTGCATGCATGAATGCAGCGCCCCCAGGCAATGGGGCTTCAGTACAAAATAATGTACACATTATGAAAGGCTGTAGACTAAATGAGCAAGTATCATAATATACCAAAAACAATCAGCTAAGGAAATCAACTTTAGATAAGCATGCCAACCTACTACTGAATCTAATAAAATACAATAATAATCAAACATCAACCTAACCAAGCCCCCATAAGCCAGGTAGGTACAAACAACATACCACCTACTTAGGCCCCCATAAGCCCAGAAGGTGCCAAATAAATCTACACAACCTTATCGGTAGTCCCTTATCTTTGTAAGAAGTCACTTAGCCCTTTTGGCAATGATATAGCCCCGTAGGCAGCGCATAGCCCTCTTAGGCAACATCATAGCTCTGTGGGCTGCATGTAGCCCTCTTTTGCATCACATAGCCCTGTAGGCAATACATAGCCTTCTTTGGTGTCAAAATAGACCCATAGGCAACACATAACACTCTTTGGCATCAATATAGCCCTGTGGGCAACACATAGACCTCTTTGGCAATAGCATAGTCATATTAGATATCATCGTAGCCCCCATAGGCAGTTCATAGCTCAATAACTGACCACAATATCCCCAAGGGCGAAAACAAACAATTAAATAGGTTGAAGGCGAGCAATTTAACTATAAACAATAAATATGAGTAATGTCCAAGTCGTTCCTAACTTAGGGTTGTTCTGAACAGATTATGAGTCCCTAAAATGAGGGTTTATAACCACTCAATCAGCCAACCACTCACAATTACATCTACAATATAACTAACATTAACTACTCTATTATATCACTCCCAAACTCTAAGGAAAAATGCCGAACGAAGGGAGTAGCCTTAACATACCTTTTCCTTTATAATTTATGCTGAAAATACCTCTATCCACACCAATACAACACTAAAGAAAGAGGTAAAATCAATCAGTAATTAAGGATAAAAATTACTACGACAATTTGACAATCTACGTGGATTTCTATCGTAAACTACAAACCAAAACCTAAGGTATCCGTAAACTGATAAAAGGTGATTCCTACCTTTCTTTAAATGACCAAAACACTTGAAAACAATCACTCCACTGAAAAAAAACCCTGCTTCGATAACCTCCACAGAGCTACACCACTCAATTCACCGTGAAAATTATACCAAAACAACGAGCTCGCGACGTAGGGCAATTTTTGATAAAAGGCCAAGAAGAGATCATGAACACACAAGGATGATTTGATGAGTATTTCTCTGATTTTAGTGGGGTTCTTACGATTTGGAATGAGGAAAAATGAAGAAGATGCTATCTTATAAGCTTCCACCGACTTAAGGGACCCACCTCACGTGCCTGCTTGTGCAGTCTCGCAAAAACACGAATATCTCTCTATTTTGAAGTAGTATGAGCAAACCGTTTGATGCATTTGAAACTCGACTCGTAGACCTTCGATTTAATGGGTCATGGGACCCATTAATCATTATAGATTGGGAGAAAACTTCCGAAACATTTGACCAAAATTTCATAGAAATCTTTAAAAAGGAACTTACGATAACTTTCGCCCACTTTTATTTTACGACTTACCTTACTTCAAAACTTGAGTTACAGTCCTTGAACACTTAAAATATGACATACCACATCATTTTAAATTTATTACTCACCCTCTTTGTCTTTCAACGAATATACGAATTAATTTAGACATTTAGAAAAGTTGGGGTGTTACATGCTTCCCCCCTTAGAAACATTCGTCCTCGAATGAAAAATTTGAGTCACACGGTTATGTCCTTAGGAGTTGCCAAAGTTTAGACAAAGTATCCTTTGTGAATGTGACTATCCAGAACTTGAAACACATAAATTGTTAACCTAGGCATCTCATAGGACGACATAAATAGCTAAGCAATATAGCTCCGCAATAACAGTGCGAGAAAAAAAACAACGACAACAACAATAATAAGAAGCAATAATATAAAAAAAATCATAGGCATCTTACCCCACTGCACCAATATAAACTGATATGCCATCACCCTACGGTATGAAACAAGTGAGGATATTTGGACCTCATGTCATCCTCAGCTTCCCAGGTCACCTTTTCTCTATTCTTGTTTCTCCACAATACTTTAACCGAAGCCCCCTCTTTGGTCCTCAATTTATGGACCTGTCGATCTAATATGGCAACTGGAGTTTCCTCGTAGGACAAATCCTCTGTGATCTGAACATCCTCAACTGGGACAACCAAATAAGGGTCTCCTACGCACTTCCGTAGCATCGATACATGGAAAATTGGATGAACAAATTGTTGCCCCGAAGGCAATTCTAACTCATAAGCCACTCGTCCTACCCTCCGAAGGATCTGATATGACCCAATAAATCTTGGACTAAGCTTGCCTTTTTTGCCAAATCTCATAACACCCTTCATAGGAGAGACTTTTAAGAATGCCCAATCATCGACACAAAATTCTAAGTCCCTTCGTCGCACATTTAAGTATGACTTCTGTCGGCTTTGAGCTGTTAGCAACCTCTCCCGAATGAGCTTAACCTGCTCCATTGTCTGTTGTACTAAGTTTGGTCCAATCAACCCTGACTATTATTGTATGTAAACTCAATAAGAGGAAAGTGGTCATCCCAACTTCCCTTAAAGTCTAGCGCGCACACCCGTAACATATTCTCGAGTGTCAAAATTGTACGCTTAGCCTGGCCATCTGTCTGAGGGTGAAAGGTTGTACTAAGATTAACTTGTGTCCCCAGTCCTTTCTGGAAGGACTTCCAAAAGTTGGCGATAAATTGTGCTCCTCTATCAGAGATAATAGATACTGGGACACCGTGTAGCCTAACAATCTCTCTAATATAGAACCCTGCATAGTCTTCGGACGTAAAAGTAGCCCTGACTGGTAAGAAATGGGTTGATTTTGTTAGTCTTTCAACAATTACCCAAATAGAGTCAAACTTGCGACATGATCGAGGTAGCCCTGTAATAAAATCCATATTAATTGCTTCCCACTTCCACAAAGGAATGGCTATCTCCTGAACTAGCCTAGCCGGCTTTTGGTGCTCAACCTTCACCTGTTGGCAGTTAGGACACTGTGAAACAAACTCAGCAACGTCCTTCTTCATCCCGTGCCACCAATATATCTCCTTAATATCATGGTACATCTTCTTTGAACCAGGGTGAATAGAATAACGGGAATGATGTGCCTCTTCCATAATCCGATGTCGAAGCCCTGCAACATTCGGAACATACAATCGACCGCTACTTCTAAGGACTCCATCTCCTGCTATATCAAATGCTAAAGTTTGTTGATTCTGAGCCTTGGCTCTAAGCTACTCTAAGTTAGGATCCTCTTGTTGCTGTGATTTCACTTCTACAACTAGAGATGATACGGTTGTGTCCTGAATTGTTACCCCACTATCTTCTGCCTCTAACAATCTGACTCCCAAGCTAGCTAATTGATGAAGCTCTCGCGCTAGCTCACGATTCTTAGCACCTAAATAGGATAAACTACCCATAGGTCTTCGACTGAGGGCATCGAATACCACATTCACCTTTCCTGGATGATATAAAATATCTCTGTCGTAATCTTTCAATAACTCAAGCTATCGATGTTGTCGCAGATTTAACTTCTTTTGTATAAAGATATATTGAAGACTTTTATGATATGTGAAGATGTCAATATGAACGCCATATAAATAGTGTCTCCAGATCTTTAATGCATGCACAACTGCAGCCAACTCTAAATCGTGGGTCGGATAGTTCTTTTCATGCTTTCTCAACTGCCTTGAAACATATGTGATA